TCAGTATGGGCAGAGGGAGGTCAGAAGCCCTCCATTTTTAAACAGTCAGAAAGACTGTTTTCTTCTTGGCAACAATCAGAAATTAAAACAGCCTAATTCCAAATTCCTGCATGTAATCTTCTATAATGCAATATATTTCTCACAAAAGGGTATTGTTGCACTATCTGCATTTCTCATAACATTGCTCGCTGAAAAACAGTAGGGAAGATTAATGAATCTTTTGAATCTTTTCAAAACTGGGATCAATGACTACAAAACAGTAATCCAGTCAATCTTGAGGCTGTATCACTCCATTTTGACTGAGGTTAGAACACCTTGCTCAAATTGCAGAATGGGATGCCTTAAATACGTTTGTAATATATTTATCAAAATGTTTTGTAATATTTTTATCAATCCTTCGTGTGCTTACAGAAATGTGTGTTGTGCTTCTGAGAAATTTAGCTTTCACAGTGAAAAATGAAGTTCAAAGCTGGGACATGAAACTCCAATATATAGCATATTCAGGTAGCATTTATGGGAGTAACATTTCTGGGAAACGTTGCATGGATTCTTGATAAGATAGATTTCAGTGCTGCATTTTGTTTTATGCTGTTTAAAAATGTTGGAAATTGCAAAAAAAATTCAGAAATTTTTTTTTATATAAACACTCTAGAATATTCTGAAGATTTAGGCACTGGTGATTGCAGATAGACTTAAAGCAAGAATGAAATGATGTACAGAATTAATTTACAGATTACTGCAGTTTGTTAGTCATAAAAAGGACTTGAATTATTTTTACTAAATGGAATAATGAATTTTGAAAGCCTTCATCATATACAATTCAGTGTAAGATTTCCTTAGCTTAAAATGTTTCAAATACCTTTTCGCTTGGTCTGTAAATAGCAGCTGTGTTTTATTCATTTTTGTTATAGTTACAATCAATTGAGTGGCATTGTGGCGTAGAGGTGGAGCTCTTAACTCAGAAGCAGGAAGCTGTGAGTTCAAAGCTAGGTAGCAGCAGATATTTCTCTCTTTGGGCGCAATGAGTAATTGTCTGCTGTGAACTTCATGTAGGCATCAGAAAGAGCATGTGCCTAGTAAACACTCGAGCTCTGTTCAGTCACCCCCGACTCTACTTCAATGCATTACAGGATTACAGAGTTGTTAAAGAAAAAAATAGTTACAATCAATTGTTATTTTTAAAACATTAAAACACTTAATTCAATTAGAATCAAAAGCAGTGGTGGGATTCAATTTTTTTTACTACCGGTTCTGTGGGTGTGGATGATGACCGTGGCATGGCTTGGTGGGCGTGGCAGGAGAAGGATACGTAAAATCTCCATTCCCTCCCCACTCCAGGGAAAGGTTACTGCAAAATCCCCATTTCCTCCAAATCAGCTGGGACTCAGGAGGCAGAGAATAGATCTGAGCAGTGCCAGTCAGAGGTGGTATTTACCGGTTCTCTGGACTACTCAAAATTTCTGCTACCGATTCTCCAGAACTGGTCAGAACCTGCTGAATACCACCTCTAGATCAAAGCAGTATTAAATACTAATACAGGAATATTTAACATTTGATAAAATGGATAGTAAAATAAAGCATCTGCATATTTTAAAAGCCAAATATTAAACTTGCTTTCATGATTAAGGTTAATTAATAAAATCAATTATTTGAATTTCATAAATAGCGCCTAACAAAAGAAGATACAACTGCTGATACAACTTGAATACTTTTCTCGCTTGCATGTAATGTAATGTCAGGTCATTGTTTTGAAACTAGTAAACTTGAACATATTTTAGCAGCTGTGTGGCCAGATTCTGTATTTGAGTGATTAATAAAAATTAAAGACTAATAGAAATTAATGCACCAATCCTTTCAAACAGGAACGAATATGATCTTTGAGAGAGACATTATATCTGCCCTCTAGATTTGTAGATAGATTTTTATTATGTCATTATAGCATGGAAAAAAACTATTATTTGTGGAATAGACAGAATGCTAGTAAAGTAGCAGCCTAATACAAATAATTTTTTGAGAAGAGCCTAATACAGATTGTTTTCTGAGAAGAAGAAATAGTGTCTTTATAAGAGTATAAATTGGGCCAAACATCTCTCTGCAGGTTGGAATTGGTATATTTCTGCTTTATTCCAGTGACATTTTGTACAATTAAACACTGAGCAAAAAGCTACAATAATTTAAAGCTCTCCCTGCGTTATTTTTCTCTGAGGAAGTTAACTTGCCCATAAGCAGTAGAGAGATTTCCAGTATCTTAATTTATAAAATCATACAATGCCTTTATAGAAGGGAAACCTGTTTTGAATTTGTGGAAATATTTAGAATGCAAGTGAAATAAAGCATCGCTCTTACAAATTTTGTATTGGCAATGTCTAATGCTCTTAAGTCTTTATACAGACAGACTTCAGCACCATAAAGCATTAGGCTTAGGACCTTTGCCTTAAGAGCTTTACTGGTGCAGGAGCTTGCAAACTAAGGTAATGTTGGTAGATTTTGTATGTATGTGATTTGTTAGTTTATTTAGTCCAGACCAATAATTAAAATCCATCACACAGCGGACATAAAACACATATTTAGAGAGCATATGAGTGGAATGAGTATACAGGACAGGCCTGAAACAATTAGGAACAACTATTATTAGCCTAATAATTATTGATTATTAGATTTTGCAGTGTTTTTAGAGGTAACTGAAAATTGGTCACAAAGAAGGTACTCAAGATAGTCTTTTATTAATTTTTTCCATGTTGAAGACGATTGGAAGATAACTCCTAAATATTTCACTTCCTTCACTTGCTTGATGATGGCACTCAATTTGCAGCTGAGAAAAATGAGTTAACAGTGGTTTATCACAAGCATAAGGTTTGCTTGATAGTTATAAAGTGCCATAACACTTTAAAACAAATTTTAAAGGAGTTTAAAATCATCTGCATCAATTTTAATTGTTTGATGTGTTTTCAGTGCTATTCCTGACTTTCATCCTATTCTGGTAAAAAACAAAATCTTTGCTTTAATGATTTGCATATTAGAACAATGGAAGATTAAGTACTCTTTTTTCTGAATCCAGTTATAGAGACTGGATTGGAAATTACTACTTTAGAGTAGGTCAGGATTATTTAAAGCAATATAAATCCTCCTTTGAAATAAATGAGTAAAAAGTACTCATAGTGATATTCTAGGAAAGATGGAAGTGTGTTAAAATAGGAAAAGATTAAATGAAGTGAGGATTAGGATATAGCAATAGCAATAGCAGTTAGACTTATATACCGCTTCATAGGGCTTTCAGCCCTCTCTAAGCGGTTTACAGAGTCAGCATATTGCCCCCAACAACAATCCGGGTCCTCATTTTACCCACCTCGGAAGGATGGAAGGCTGAGTCAACCCTGAGCCGGTGAGATTTGAACAGCCCAACTGCAGAACTGCAGTCAGCTGAAGTAGCCTGCAGTGCTGCATTTAACCACTGCTCCACCTCGGCTCGGCTATAGTAGGATTGCTATTGAAAAAATGTTGGTACCTGTTTGTACTGCTGCCGTGTCTTAAATTTAATCCTAGGAGAGAGTTTAATATGATAATTTTAAAATCTTTCAGTATCCAAGTAAACTATTATTTTATGAAATTAAGTATATATCTGTCTAATTAACTTTTTATTATATGAAATTAAATTGACATATGTGCGCGCTCTTCCTGTTAAACAGTGTGATCATCATTTTGATGCTAGATTTTAGATATTTTGACTCATATCTATAGATTATAAAAACATAGAAAACAATGAGAATATAATTTAGCATCTGCTACATTGTTAGAAATAAAGTTTTAGTAAAACAGATCATATTCTTTCCTGTCTTTTGTGATATGTATATAAATTAGTTACTGATTTACAGTAGGCCATGAGATTTTTAAGATACATCAGAGTGTCAAACCTGCAGCCTCATGTTTTCATCACATGACATCACATGACTTTATCCCCCTTCGCTAAAATAGGGGTGGGCATGGCCAGCACATGACACATGTGGCCCATGGGCTGCAAGTTTGATACCCCTAATATACATAGTGGGCTTGCATTCTGTCAGAATTTGGATTGTTTTCAAATGTTCCACTTAATATTAAAGTAGTCCAAGCACTTAAATGAATTGTCCTGTATATTTCAATTTCAGAAAAAGCAAATAGGGAAAAGGAGTAATATTGTTTCTTTCCAGAGCTGAACACCAGGCTTTAGGATCATTTAAAAGTACTTGATTGGCCATTTCTGGAGATAAAATGTTCTGTTTGTTCATACATTTACTTTTATTGACTAACAGCTTGCTGATTTCTTTCTGGTCAAGTTCATATTTTGAGTGCAGCTCTTAGATCACAGAAGGTTGCCTGTTAAAGGAATAAATTAATCTAGGTGAAGAAATAGAAGTCTTTAATTCTCCTTCATTTATTTAAAATAAAAGTGATTCCATTTGAATATATTTTTGCTGAATGATTATAACAAAAAATGCTTTTAATTTGGAGGAGAGAGAAAATCCATAGCGGAACATCTGATATTTCCCAGACTTTCAGAAACTATGGCACATAGTGGATAGACAAGTTTTTTCTTTGCGCACTTTTTGAAGTTTTAACTACATCAGTTAAATAATTAATATAGTTGGAAGAAATATTGTCTGCTCAAGGGGCAATAATTTAATTTTTTCATGGTTTCTCCAGAATACCTGCTTGAGCAGGCAATGGGCATGTTCCATTGCCACATGGGGGCAAGGGTGGCTCTGTGAACATCCATTGAAAAGTATGGTCATAATTATTGATAGTCTTTCCTGGAAGTTTATTCTCGGTTTTTAAATGCTGTAACTCCTATCATAATACTTTCCTACCATACTTTTCTTTGACAGTCTGAACTAGTTTATACTCTTAAAATAGCTCCTGTAAGCCTTCCATGTGACTAAGCCCAGATAACAAGGGAAATCATATTTGCAGCACTTTATGTGGATACTGCTTATCTATTAAATACTATAAAATTTTCTTTACAGAAAATCAAAACTGTCTCCATCAATTTGTTCATGAACGTTTGGGTGAGGTGCTTCGTGTATTAAAGGCAATAATTAACAAACATCCGAATCTTTATTCAGTTGATGTTCTAAGTGCTGCAGGTACAGTCATTGCAAAAGTCAGAGGTAAGAAAAATGATACAATTATTTTATTGTGACTGTAAACTGGGATTGGAAAAAAATCTTCAAAATATAGCATCAATTAACATAAATTGGGATTCTTTTATCTGTGTATCTTCCTCAGTAATTAAATGCTTTTAAAAAATAATAATAATGGATTAATTATTGATATTATTGTGCAATTCTGAATTTCCTCAGATACTCATATGGGTATTTCTTTCCATTTGATAATTCAATAATTGGTGTATGTAGGGGGTGGAGATAGCTAAAGTATTTATGGTATAATATTTTTTGCAGAAATTGAATAACATGATACAGAACAGTATTATTTTCTATAGTGCACATTTAAACTGAAATTTAGGTAAATAATCTTACAAAGATCATATTAAATATTCATATCTGAATTTAGTTTTTAATCAGTTTTTAATCAGGTTATCACAACCAGTTATCTGAAATGGGGGGAGGGGAGGAATGGCAACTGATGAAACCACCAGATTTTACACATACCTCTCTTCATGGCTCATGCTCTTAATTTTGTTTAATACTTCTGTATTATATTTGAAATGCAAAATATAGCTTTGTCAAAGTTTTGGGAGGAGGTGTGTCTCTTTTTAGTGTACCAATAATTTGGAGATTGCTATAAATCTCTTTGTGAGATTTATATCCTGTCTTTTCTCCCCTAAGCTCAAGGCATCATATACAGCCCTCCTTCTCAGATTTTCCCTTCACAGTAATAACACTGAAACAATTTAGGATGAGAGATAATAACTGGCCCAAAGTCACTGAGTGAACTCTCATGACTGAAAGTAGACTTGATGCTAAGTCTCAGTTCTATTCCCATATGTAATCATTGTGCCACTGGAATAATTCTGCAGCTAAGACTTTAATGGATCAACTAAACTATGTGTCTAGCTACAATTTTTAATCAATATTATATTAACTTGAAGTATGTCTAACCATATTTGATTCAATAGTATATTAGTAATTTAAATATTTATTATTGATTTGAACAATTAAATTAAAAATTACAATTGCAACAATACAAACCGATACAAACTAAACAAAAAGGAAGAAGAAGTAGGGTTCCATGGTTTCTCCAGCGGGCATTTTCCATTGATACATGTATAAGCTACTATACTCTTTATCTGATGCTTATAATTTAGTTCAAGGCAGTTCTCAGCTAATAGTGGCAATTGGGGCCAGAATTCCATTTCTAAGTGATGATATCATGTGAATGTGCTGCTTAGTGATGGCAGTTCCAACAGTCCCCATTTAAATTTTTGAAGGAATCATTAAGCAAGAATCTTACATGACTGTGACTTCCTTCTGGCTTTCCCATTGACTTTGGTTGTGGAAAGCCAACAGAGAAGATCACAAATTGTGATCACATGACTGTAAGGGCACCGCAACAGCTGGAACTTTATGGATTTGTCCTTAAAGTACCATTTGTTCAGTGCCATCAAAAATTTGAACAGTTGTTGAATGAGTTGTTGTTAATCAAAAGCCATCTATATTGGAAGCTTTACTATTTTTATTTTCTCAAAAATTTAGTATACAGATTTTTTTTCTCTCAACAAAGTCTTGACTCACCTTATTAAACTAAACTCCAGTCTTTTGGAGGCAAGCTTTCTGTTTATTAGCTGTCTATATATATATAAAAGCCAAATACCACTCACTTATCACAAAATCTCCAGAACTTTAAAGCCTACAAACTTGAAACTTGGAAATATGTTCCTCTTGGCTTCTAGGTGCTTGCTAAGAAAGGATTTTTTGAAATGACCATCAGATCATTAGTATGCTAAGGCGTTCCACTCCCTACCCCCATCTGAAAAAAAACCTCTGTTCCAGCTGCCAGTTGCCTCACATTCTGTTACCTCGGTTCAAACTGGCAGACGTCCCACTCCTTCACTCAGGAGCGGTCTGGGGCTCCTTACCGTACTAAACGTTGGTACCTCACCTAAATATCTATGCCTTCCAGCTATGGAACTGCTTCTGGACTCAAGATAGCGGGAGTGATATTCCCCTTATGTGTTTCAATCACCGACCACCACTGAGCCAACAAATTGAACTGGAGTGAACCGGATTTCTCCTGCATTGCCCGATCACATAGTTTCATCGCAAAGCACGGGCATCCCGCTAGTATTATATTATAATAAATTACTCAATATAGACTTTATTGCTTTCATATATTTCTCTGTGACAGCAGAAAATCCATTTATTCCCAGATGAAGATTTGTTGTAAATAACAATCTTTTTGCATTTTATTTATTACTGCAAAATATATGCCATTTCTAGCGACCTTGAGTAATTGCATTGGCTTTAATTGTAATGTTATTACACTAATTATTATTAATTATATTCAATTAATCTTATGATCTTATCCATTATCACAATTTGTGAAAAAATTACTACATTGGGCATTTAATTTATCCCAACATAATTTCATTATTTTGCATGGCTTGCCACAATTAATATTTTCATATCTAAAATAGGTGAAGAAAAAAATAAATACCAGTAGATCACAACTGTTTCAGGAGAGGGAGGGAGAGAGAGGGAGGGAGAGAACTCAAGTTACAATTCTATTTTATTAGACTACTAAATTATGTTATTATAAATCCAGGGATGATGGTTTCAGTTTTTAATAATAGTCCTTGAACCAAATGTTTACATTAATTTTTCCCATCTCTATTATGTTGCATGCTGACTTGAAAGAGTAGCTCTATAGAAACTGCCATTTCCAGACATGGAAATCGTATTACTAATTGTTGTCAGTGCTATTGTGTACAGCCAGGATGTCCTGGGGAAAGTCTGTTTAAAGCTGATGATAAGTAATATCAGTATGTAATGGTTGAAAGAAGCGTTTTAGCGTTCTTTGAGTAGAAGTGTTTTGGAAATAAGGTAGGAGAAATTAATTTATATTTAAATCACTAAGTACTTATTTTCCAAATCATTAAAATTTAGGCATAGCAAGAAACAAAGACAGACTTGTAAAACAGGAAAAGATTTCGTTTAGTATAGTCGATAGCATTTCCTTGGGGGAACATGGTTCAAAACAGTTCAAATTGCACATTTATTTTTGCTACTGGTATCTTTATTGTTTTCTTCCTTATTTGCTCTTTTAATTTCCAGTAATATTTTCAATATATATATATAAATATGTATTTATGTTTTGCATACTTAACTTACAGTGTTATTGTGAGCCATTAGATTGTTTTTCACAAATTAACAGTACTGTCCCTTTTACGCCATACAGGATGAGCTAGTGAGGGCCTTTGATTTATGTGAACTTTTAAACTACTTAATGGTTATCAGGCTTTGCATTTCTAATATTTTATTCTGGAAAAAAATGATATATGTAATCTATTTTACAAAACCTATTTAGTATGACTATAAATGCATTGTTAAATTTTAGAATATAGAATGTAGAGGAATTGGTTTTAAATATTTCAATTATTTGTGAAGAGAGTTTTCAGAGCAAAGTTTATATGAGGAAACAAAATTTACATTATGAGCAATGAAGTCTATGTTGAATAGATTATGATAATATATAATATTAGACAGTTAATTTCTATCACCCTACTATGTCTGGTTTATTTAATCCATTGCCTTTGTTTAAATACTTGTCAATAAAATCACATATTTTAAGTGTAGCTAACTTCTAAATAAACTCATTTACATTTTTCTAATTTATTTTCTTTAAAACATTAGGGTTTCATTAGTTTCTTAATAAAATAATGTGTTGTGTAAAAGATGTTAAAGGATATAATGGAAGCTGTTTCTAAATACCAATGAAATATGAAGATTGAGTAATGGGGAAGATATTTTTGTGAAGGGAAATTATTGAAAGAGGTAATCTTTCAGAGACTGGAACTGATATAGTCTCCCAATTTTCTAAATTTCTGAGTATACTCTGCAAAGCCTTTCAGTCTAAGACTGCTGCAGTCAACCCCCTGCTCCTCTGGTTGAAGTGGATTTAAATTTTTCTATTCTCCATTTTACTTATCTTTTGTAGGTTCAGTTTTTCTACAATCCAGGTTAATAATGTATGCCCCTGTTTATGATAAAATATAGTTACATCATGCAAACACTTTTCTGCTTAATGAAGAAATAAAAATGTGTCTTATATTACAAACTGATTCAGACAATAAAGAGCAATGATAGGCCTTCAGCCAGTTTTTACTCTTTTTGCCAGGTTCCTGAATCTAGTTTCCAGAACCTTGAGTGCCAATGAAAGTTGGCAAAGTGATTTTTCAAGGAGTCACTAAAAAACTATTTCTTTTTCTGTATAGTGTGATTGATCAAAATGATTACATGACATAGGAAACATTAATTAAGCTTAACAAAAAATGCTTATCTTGGTGCCAGTAAATGATCACTGCCATGAACATTTTTTTCAGGAAAGTTGCTAGCCTTCCCTTCTCAGATGTCCCAAATTCCACATGCACACAAGTATTATGTAAGATGGCTCTCTGGAGTTTGAGGAATAGGGAAGTGCTTAATTCCTATCTGGAGACACAATGCTCCTTCCTTCCTTCCTTCCTTCCTTCCTTCCTTCCTTCCTTCCTTCCTTCCTTCCTCCCTCCCTCCCTCCCTCCCTCCCTCCCTCCTCCTTTTTTGAAAAGATTATCTACCATGAACTGAATAAAATACTCCCTAGCCCTATTACTTTAGTTTAAATACAACATAGTACTCACTCTATGGCCAGATTTGAGAGCATTACTTAGCTACGAAAATTCAATCTGCTAATTTACAGAGCCTCTTTGTTTTCTCTCTTAGCTGTGAACTTTAAGGAAATTAATGAAGAAAAGAAGCGAGAAGTATTAAGTGAAATATTCTCTTCTATTGACTTACTGGCATTCACTTTTGGCAACGCGTAAGTTTTAAAAAGATATAATTGTGTTTTTTAGACTTTAGACTCTACGTATCTGAACCGCTAATAAGATTCTTCAACCATGTTATTCATTTAATTTGTAATTTTCCTTTCCTAATGCTGTTTCTTTTTTTAGGTCTCCTAAAATAGCAAGCTTTTCTTGCAATTGAAAAGAAAGTAAATTTTTATACTCTTACACTTTGAAGGTCTTTGCTTCAATGTTTCCAGTCTTTTCTTGCAGCTATTCTCCATTAAATTTTTGATTTCTGAAGCATCACTGAAGTCCCACCTGTTTTCTAACAATTGAGAACAGAGCAGACTATATCTAGGCTTTTACCCAAAATTTGAAATTACCTGATGTTCAACAATTTCATTAGTAGAAGTTTTTAGCAGTTAAACGTAATATATATTTAAAAATGCTACCTTTTATAGCTGTGACTATCTTAAAATAGATGCTGATTGTTCCCACATGATATTTGGTCTGAATATTTGTTAGACATTTGTGCCTGTGTGGTATGCCAAAGCATAATTTAATTTTTATTCTGACTCCCATGACAGAGTTTCAGACTTCCTTATGGGAGATGTGGATAATGGCTCAGGACTGGGTCTTCAGGTATCTCGGCAAAGTCAAGTACGTTGATAATATTCTTGAAAGTTTTAGCTTTGTGCAGTGTTTGTTAATATAGATTTCCTTACTATTGATCAAGAACAGTTTAAAACTTAAAAACTGCATAAGAACCCAACTTTTTGTAGAAACTATGGCAGATAATTTGTATAAAACTGGCATTACCTTAGTTCTAAAATATAAATATAAATGCAGGTTATTTTGTTCTTTTTTGAGATATTTTATTGTATTTAACTACAGTAGTTAAGGCACATGAGCTTTGTGGGCTTCTAGTAAGAAATTGAAATGAGTTATCAGGTCAACTTTGTGATGGATAAAAATCTTTATAGAAAGATGAATGTTGGCTACCATAAGCTCTCTTTGTGCTTAACTGTCTTAACAATATTTGGTAAATGAGCTTAATAAAATTAAAAATATTAATAAGGCCAATTAAATATGATTTATCTATAAATACTAGGTAATGATTTATTGCTTATCTGTTTTTGTACCCCACCCCCAATCTGCCTTGTCAGGTAGCATATAATGTGTTGAAATATCTTTTTTAAGCTGATGCTAATAAGTTATGCTTTTTTCTATGCCAGTCTTTTGAAAACCTTTGTACAGATTCTGGAATATCATTACATGAAGGTGTTCAATCAACAGGTGAGCATTTTTAAATGCATGATAACTTTGTACCCCATTTTTTGTAGGTAAATCGTAATACTGGCATTAAAAAGTTATAAACAGATCTTCTACATAAATGCTATATAAAAATACTAATATAAATATTTAAAGGAAAATAATTGGTGTTTTAAAATACCTGTTTTATTATGAATGAAATTCCCTCCCAAATTCAGATTCTGAGTCTACTGGTATTTTGAAGGACCTTAAAAATGTGACTCTTCACCCAGCCCTTTGGTGAGGACGACTGATGCCCCTTTCTCTCTCTCTCTCTCTCTCTCTCTCTCTCTCTCTCTCTCTCTCTCTCTCTCTCTCTATATATATATACACACACACACACACACACACACACACACACCTTTTCTTCACCATGACTCTCTTTTCTTGTCCTGATTTAGCATTTTTTTCTATTGCTCCTTGTTTTTAAACCCTTTAACAATCATAAATCCATAGTTGAACATATTATTAGGGTTGATTGCACAGTCAAGAGAAGTTTAGACTAGCTTTGGAATTTTTATCCACCTATTGAGTCCTTTCCAAGGATGTCGGATAGGCAGATGTTGTTGTTTGATAGTATAAACGCTATCATCGAAGGATGTAAGCTGTTTCAAGTAAAGCTGCCTTTTGCAATTGATTACTATTATTATTATGTCTCATCCCAATCTTAAAAATTGTTTATGTTACTATAAGAATGAACCTAAGCTGCTCGTATTATTGTTCTCCTGGTATGCTATTACAAAAATTCCATAGTTTGCTAAGGTATAATTCTGTGAACTTTTAATGTGTTCTATAAGATCCTTTAGTTGTCAACTAAAAAAAGATTTCAGTTGATTTAATGTTCATAGCTAATGTCTAAAATGTGCTTTTTTGTATTTGATGCTTTATTTTCAGGGCACCTTAGTCCTGAAGAAATTGATAGCGCTCTTCTAAGAAATGATAATGGAATCAAATCTGCTCTATCCTATGCTAAAGCATGGTCAAAATATGTAAAGGATATTATTGTATGGGTAGAGAAAAAGATTAATTTGGGTGAGTACCTATTTCTGGCACCTGCAGTCATTCAGAGTCAGGCAGGCATGTAAGTTTTATATTGTCAGAATTGTGCTACCCATTGTGACTTCTAAATTAATAACGATTTGTTAAAATGAATGGGACAAATGCTAGTTCCTGTGCCTGGAAGATTGTAATAAAATAGTATCTAATTAAGATTAAGATTTTTTTTACTATATCTAGTACTTCTTTCTACAGAAATGGAGTGTGCTAAAAACCTGGCAAAAGTAGCAGAAACCACGAAGACTATTATTTTATCTCAGGTGTGTATTCAGTTAAAAAAAGTATTAAATGTATTAGTAAACCATTATTATTTTGATATTCAAAATTAATTGAATTACAAGTTAACTTTATAAGTTCCTAATTATTTGGTAGTTTGTATCTTATCTTGTGTCTTAAAATCTGAATAATTTATTATAAAGTATATCATAACTCAACTATGGTAAGATGCAAGTATTTAAACAGATGTGTAAAGGTGCAGATATTTAAACAGTAATTTAAGCACTATTTTTTTTAAAAAAACAGCATTTTAAAATTAGTTTAAACAAGTGTTATGTAGCAGTTTAATTTGGCATTAAAGCTGTTTAAACAACTTTTCATTTCTATAATTGGAAATCTAAATCTTAACACTATTTTGAAAAAATATTAGCATTACATTATGTGTGTTTGCTTTTAGGACTACATGCCATTCCAGTCAATATTCATAAATGCATTTCAAAATGATATAGAGAACAGTCTGCTTTGGCAGCAGACAGCAGTAGCTCTTCAAACTAATAAATTTTTACAGGTAAATAAAAATTCTTCCGTAAGAAGTATTACTATATGAATTATTCACTGTTATGTGAACTACTAACATATAACTGATAGTTCTTCACTCAGTTCATTTTTCTTATTTAGCCACTGCTGGGGAGAAAAAATGAATTGGATAGGCAAAGAAAAGAGATAAAGGAACTTTGGCAACGAGAACAGAAAAAATTGGTGAGTATCATTGTTTATTATACATCTTGTTTGCTCATTTGAACTTCTGAATTTCCTTCTGAGCTTAAATTGTGATATTGTATAAAAAAGACAAGTCTCATGTAGAGTCCCCCTGGACATGTGATTGTGATATGAGCACTTGGCAACTGTTGTGCATTTACAACGGCTGCAGTGTCCTGCTGTCATAAGAAAACCTTTTGCAACCTTCCCAGCTGCTTCCATCTAGTATAATCAGTGAGGAAGCCAGCAAAAAACCATTGCTAGTCTTGGTCAAATGATGTCTCGATTAATAATTGCAGTGATACACTTAAGGACCAATAAAGGTTGTAAAATTGCATGTGATTGTGTGATATGGTTGCAAGTCAAGGATTACTTGTAAGCAATTGCCTACACACTTCTTTTTCCCTTAATGGAATAAGGATCATAGTTTCTTTTACCATAATCATTATGCTTTAATAAGTAGAAACATGCTTGGAAATTTTAAAAAAAATCATATTGATTTAACAGATTAATATTCCACCACAAGGTTTACTTCTTAGTATAAAAGATGTTTTTCTCTGGAATGTGCAGCAAGAACTGGAATCAAGTGTAAGGAAAGCAAAACAATTATATCTTCAACGGCAAGAGGAGTATGAGAAGGCAAGATCAACCACTCTTCGTGCTGAGGATGACTATATTTCTTCCAATTGGGGCTTTACAAAAGATACCAGCAAATTAGAAAAGAAACGTAAACTGGAAGAGGAAGCTCTCCAAAAAGTAAAGTATCTTCTTTACATATGTCACTATTTGACAAACAGACAGATATTTGGCTTTTATCTATTATTTGAATCATATGACTTTTTATTATGGGTTATTTATGGAAGGGGATTAGAGTTAACTGGATGTTTTTTTTCTATCAGTACTTATTTCTTTATCTTTCATTTGTTGTAGGCTGAAGAAGCCAATGAACATTTCAAAGCCGGCAAGGCTGAAGTTGAAGAAAAGAGAAGTAATCTAGAAAATTTCAAAAGTGTCATTTTAACACAGCTACGGGAACAAATTTATCAATGTGATCTCACACTAAAAGCTGTAAGAATATATGTCTTAATGTATCTTGAATCTGCAAACCTTTAGTGAATTTTAAAATTGGCAACATTAGATACTTTGCCATAGTGTAACAACCCATGGGCCAGATATGGCCCTGACAGCTAGTAATTTGGCCGTACAAGATCGTAATAAAAATATAAATAATAAAGGAAGTACATTATTTGCATACATTGATTATATTATATATTGTATATGCGGCCCAAAACAGTTCCTCTTCACTCAGTGCAGCTAGGCAAGCCAAAAGATTGGAGACACCTGAGTTAAAGTAAAACTTGAAAAACCTGACTGAAGAGAAGTTGTACAACTTTCATTAGCTAAAAAGCCATACTATGCTTTTCATGGTAAATTGAGAGCTTCACTAAATCTGTGGCAGCTCTGAATGCTGCAAAATGGATGTGGGTAAGCTATGTTTTTGTGCTCCTGCTAGAGAGAAAACTGCAAATGAAAAAAGCTCCCAGTTCCAGAGCCTCATTTCCTATCTCATTATATCTGATTATCTTTGCCACATTTGCTTCTTTGTGTAACTGCTGTGGCCCACCAGTGGCCGGTGGAGCTGGCAGCAGATTTGGACAGTGAGGAGGTTGGGGAGGAACATGGGCCAGTCCTGACATCTGGGGAAGGCTCTGATGAGGGCTCTGTGTCGGAGGCAGAGAGGGGGCCAGAGCCGTATGCCAGTTATCAGCTGCCTTCAGAGGCAGACCTCAGTGAGGCAGACGAACAGCTGGAGCCTGTTCCCAGTGTGCGCATGCAGAATTGTCAGGTGAAGGGAACAGCTAAAGAACAGGGGTGGACTTGGGAGTAAGGCCATAGGTGGACGATGAATGGCCCCTCCCAGAGGAAATAAAAGAGGAGCGAAAGGGGAGTGGAGTTCGCAGGAGACAATTAGTTTGCTTAATTGGTTCGTGACTCTCTGAGACTCCTTGCCACATATCAGCCTGGCAGCTCTCCAAACCAGATTAGGTCTGTGACAGTAAATCCTCTTTCGAAAGACTTTGCTGGATGTAAATGAGCAGAATTCACAGTAAATTAATAAAAGGGGTTTTGTCGGGACAATGAGTTTGCTTCATGCTCTTGGGAAGCCTAGGTCAGAACAGTAACAATGTAGCTTATGCCATAATATTTGATGAGCGTGCCAATGCTTGCTTGTTTTTTTTTAATAACTGGTACTAAGCAAAGGGTCTTATGTTTACCTTTCCTTTAAAACAAGGTTGAGAATCTGAAGATCAACAAGGGTCTAATGTTTATTTTTCCTTAAAACCAATGTTGAGAATTTAAAGATCAACAAGTGGGTGGGTGGGGGTTATTGATGTTTATTTTTATTTCTATACTGTATTTTATTGTTTGCAAGCCATCTAGAGCAGGGGTCCCCAACCTGTGGGTCATGGTCCCCTGCTGTGCCATGACCACCGGGCTGCATGAGTAGCTGGCTACCATCCCCTCTTTTCCCCTCTTCTCACTCCAGGCCGCCAACCTAGAAAGCTTGGGGAACTCTGACCTAGAGTCCTTGTGAGCAAGTAGGTAGCTAAATAAAAAAAGTAAATAAAAGCATGGAAAATGAAGCTGCAGTTTTTACACTTTAGTTTAAAGCTGCTTTGTTTTATAATAGGTTAATTATATAGAAAATGTAGGCTTAGAACTATTTGTAGAGTTTGGGTTTTATTTTAATTATGATATATATGTATCTAATATTTTGTAGTTTCTTTGTATTTTGCTGTTTCTGAAAAGTACTGTGCAGTCTTGAAAAACTTTATCTTCCACATAGGCAACAGTCAACCTTTTCCAGATGCACCATGCCCAAGAAGTGTCTATTCCAGTTGATTACCAACACCTTTGTGAAAGTGCCAAGCTGTATGATCCAGGAAAAATGTTATTTGAATATGTGAAGAATTTGCCAAAATATGATGCTCCTACTGAGTCTGCTTGCTTTGAAACTCAGGCTTCCCAGGTTGAAGGGTGAGATATTAGATATATTCTTCCGTATTTGGCAGTAAATATGAACCAAAAGTTCAACTAAAGAAATAAAATGTAGATAAAGAAATTTTGAATTTAGCAAAATTGTGCATTTGGTTAGGTTTACCAATATATCTGAGTTTTCTTTACCATATTTAAGTACTATCATTGAAGAATAAATTTTAATTATTTATTCTATAATGTTATAGGGAAATGGTTGTTATATAAATAATTTATATAAAAGTCTGGGAATATTTGGATTTCTTGGTTATTACCAGGATTCTTTACAGTTTTGTTTCTTTATTGTAGTTATTTTAAATCACGTTTGTCAGTTTTTTGAAGTTAGAAAAGTCTTCATTTTCCTCTTGTCTATAACCAAATATGCTAAGGCAATTACCACTTTTTTCTCAGTTGGGGGGAGGGAGATAAGTTCATAATTCTCATCAGTGTTAAATACAGAGCCAATATCTGCCAAAAATTTCAAAATCATAACCACTTTAAAAACAAAAGAAGTAATTGAAAATTTAGCATGCTCATTTCAGTGAGAAAATATTGAACTCTGAATGTCAGAGAAACAAAAAATTGGATTGAATTGTTTGATGTCTACTATACGCCTATAGGATCATAGGATTTTGGAGAAAACCCAACATTCTAAACGGGGGCACTTACAGTTGGCTTACACTGCATTTTCATTTTAAACTTTTTATTCATCCATCCATCCATCTATCATCTAATTTTGAAACCAACAATCTGCCTCACATTTTCATTGATAAGCGTGTTTTTTATCCAGAATTCATTAAAGCTTGTAGGATTGTTCTTCTGTTTACGTTATTCTGATCTTTGCATATGAGTCAGCAACCTGAGGGAAGCTGCGTGTATGTCATCACGATGTTAAATTAATAATTTCACATTATTCACGCATTTAAATTTATTTAATACATTTTAATTAATTAACAAAAGAGTTGAGGGAGTGAAGTCATAGTGAGCGGTTTGATTTTGGAGATGAAAGGTCAGGAAATTAAAAGTGGAGTTCTCAGGAGTGCAGGTTTGGGGGAGACCTGCATGTAACACACCTCAGTAAATAAGTGTACTCCTCTGTGAATAGCTGCCCAGCAAGATTGTTTACAGTTACCTAGAACCCATTGGAAAATGTCAGGCTGAAAGAGTGCTTGCTAGCCATTACGATGAAATCTTATAGCATCCCTCACTACAAGTTGGAAGTTGTTTAAATAAATTTATCTGAGATGCCAGAGACCATTTTAGGATTAGTTTGAAGCTAATGGTCCTGAGAAATTGAGCAGAGTTTGTTGTTAGGTTTATTTTATAATCTGGGGATTGAGTCTCTGATTGCCAGGTTGTTAAAAGTCATCAAGGAAAGATTCAGTATTTATGGTTATGTCTCTATAAGCATTTAAAATCTTGAAGAGAAGTGTAAAATGTTGATTTGTTGGGATAAATTAGGAAAACAATGCAATTCCAAATAATAGTTTGTTCCCTTTCACAGAGTTTTTGGTGAACAGTCAAACAATGTTTCTGCATCCCAAGGAAGCATACCTCAGTGCTCAAGAGATTATCCTATTCCGTTACTAGATGATACTACAAGCCCAGCCTATCTTTGCTCTCAAAAAATTGGAGACAAAAGATCTTTGAGTAATACAGATGTTTCTGGTAATACTTCAATTGATCATTTATGTAGTTAAGTAAACAATTTTAACATATCATTGTGATTTGGCCACTAATGTATTTTCTAATGTATTATTTTTATTTTTGTTGTCTGCAACAAAAGATCTTTACATAAGTCAATATATTAAGGGAAATGAAACATAATTAAGACTCATAATTTAATTTTGGGAAGTGAGAATTTTAAACTTTTCAATTCATATTAATATGTCAATAAACCAGAGTGAAATACGAATAGAAACTGAACAATACCATTCCTCTTCAAAGAAATGAAACAAAGGTCAAACAGTAAATATAGAAAAATGTTGAAATATGTGAAAGTTAATAACATACGGTATATTTTAAATATAATAAATATTAGATATTTAATATTTATCCATTTCAATTTGTTTATTGAGGATAAGTGTGTCATTATAATGTAGAGGCTGTTTTCTTCTAATGATTAGTTGTTCAAGAATTGGTAGCTCATGTTTTCAAGGCCTTTTTATGGGTTTACAGCAGATATGTAATTGGGATCTACCCAGGGGTGGGTTTCTGCCGGTTTGCAACCCACACGCAACGTGCGTGCACACACTGTTCAGTGCAAATTGTTCCGTGCGCATGCTTGAACAATTTACAGTGAACTGCGCATACGCAGTCACTAAAATTCAAAAGGACGGCACCCAAACAGCAGTGAGGGAACCAGTTTGGGGGCATATCAGGCCTGGTTCTGTGACCCAGGCCTGAATTTCACTACCGGTTTGGCCGAACTGGGCAGAACCAGCAGCAACCAACCTCTGGATCTACCTGAATATAGCTATTGGACTTCATGTCAATTAATGTCAACTTTCCTATGAGCAAAATTTGTACAACTAAATTTCTGATTTACTGCTCTGTTTTTACATTCAAATGCTTCTTGGACTACTTTGTTCTGCCATAGTTATGATTCAGGCTATCCCATTGGATGAATACAGCAAAACTGCCACTAGCAGAGCATGCACAACCAAAAGAGTGGCTTGTACAGACACAGATCATGTATAGTTCTTACTGTAGTACAGTGAAGGGTACCTCCAGGTTTGATTTTAAAATGTATACAGTATATAAGCTGTGAGAAGCAGGGTAAAATTTGTTTTATATCTGAAGAACCTGAAGTCACTAAACCTATTTCTCCTTCTCCTTTAAAGGTGTGCGAGGCCCACCACCTTTTAGATCCTGGTCAGTTGGTAATCAAAGTGGGGGAATGTGCAGTGATTCTGAAAGTGCAGGAGGAAGCAGTGAATCACGATCTGTGGATTCTCCATCTGCTAGCCCAGGTACAGATATTATTCTTCAATGCTAGTATTATTGCTGTGATTTAGTGAAGCAAAAGAAATGCAACCAAAGGGCTTAAATTGTCCATTTCTTGGCTGTTTAGTAGGTGACTTTAAAAGACTTCCTCGTACACCATCTATTGGGACCATGTCATCTGCAGATGACCTTGATGAGAGAGAGGCACCTTCACCTTCTGATTGTGGTAATATAATTCCTACGCTGAGTTCATCTTTTGTCCCATTTTGCAGTCCCATTTTTTTTTATTCTTAAACTTTGTTAGAAATAGAAGGGTAGATAGTAAACATGTTTATCTCTTCTAAGCCAACAAATATATTTATTGAGCTGAAAGAGCACATTTCAGTAAGTACAAGAATTCTGCAAAAAATGAAGCTTAGCTGTTCTGCTTAAAAGTGTAATACATCTGCTAAACATATGTTTGATAGAAGCTGGGATTAAATAAGCAGGGTTTTTATTCTTTGGGTTGTTTTGGCTTTGGTGATATGCTTAGTGGACATTTCAAAACCAATAAATAATAATTCAATAAATATACAGAAATGTATGATTTGACTTTTTCAAAAATAGAAATATGAACTTGTGAGCAATTTCTGCCCCCATTTTATCATATGATAAAATGATAAGGCAACCTTCTCACACAGAATTGCTTGGGATTAGGATCTCATAGATAGGTAGGTAGATATAGATAGTTTTTCTTCACTGAACACATTATATGCATCATTATTAGGATATCATTTCATAGGATAAATATCTGAAAATATTAGTGTGTATTCCTTGTACTCTGAAAAGCTAACAATAAACCTTTTTATTTTAAGGTTTAAATGACCTAGCAGCTGAAATTGCCAGTACACCTGGACCTTTTCGAAACACTCTCCTGTCTAAGGCAGCACAGACACACAAACTTCGGAAGCTGAGGTCGCCATCCAAATGCAGGGAATGTGATAGTCTGGTTGTATTCCATGGAGCAGAATGTGAAGAGGTTGGAAATCCAAACACCTTTTGGCTTTCTTATAATGGCTTGTGGGCAATAAAAATTACTAGATTCACATCATATAATTTCACACCCTGTATTTTCCATGACTGAGGTGCACTGGAGATGTGAAACTACTATGGGGAACTTGAAGTGCCGGAGAGGATAGTGTCAATTTATCTTACCAGCTTGGCAGTATATTTTCCAAGATAATATAAATGGCTCTCCTTCTCCAGTTATTTATTAGGCTTGGCAGAAAGGTTTGTTGGTGAAATATTCATTATGCCTCATGTTTAAGATCTTGCATACTTGAATGGCTGCCTGTCTATTGCATATACTGTATACATTTATTTTTGGAATTTATAGCCTGCCTTTTTGCTCATACAACACTCAAGCAGCTGTTAACTATTCAAAAGCTTTTAAAGTAGTACCAAATTACTGTCAACTAGTTGAAAGAAGCTTAATGCTTTAAATAAGTTAAATGAAGTTAGATGATGAGCTGAACAGTAGATGCTATATGCCCTTACCCTGCTTTTAATATCTCATTTTTTTTTGCTGTTCTTTTAGTGCTCGCTTTCCTGTCACAAAAAATGTTTGGAGACTTTAGCTATTCAGTGTGGGCATAAGAAGCTTCATGGAAAACTTCATTTGTTTGGGGTAGAATTTACTCAAGTTTCTAAAAATAGTCAAGATGGTATCCCTTTCATCATAAGAAAGTGTACCTCTGAAATTGAAAGCAGAGCCTTAAATATGAAGGTAAAGATTTATACTGGTTTTCAAATGCTTTTCTTCAAAACCATTAAAATTTTGTTTTTACAATTATTTATGATGTTTGTTTCATATTTAAGGGGATATATCGTGTGAATGGCGCCAAATCCAGAGTTGAAAAACTTTGTCAGTCATTTGAAAATGGGAAAGATTTGGTAGAATTATCTGAACTTCATGCGCATGATATAAGTAATGTCCTTAAATTATTTCTTCGCCAGGTAAATAAACATTGTCTTCTTTATTCTTATTTGTATATTAAGAGATTTATTAAGTGGGACATGATTCTTGTGTAGAGTTTTGTGAAAATTCCAGAATTGAGGTGATTGCAGAGAGTTTACCTTTTGACTCTTGCTTGTATTGGAAGGATAGAAAACAATCAAATTATCATTCTTAAAATTAGATTGTTATTGAGTTTTCACTGTTGCTGATTTTGGTCAGGTTAATTAAAATTAGCTATTTTAAGTATGATTAATGTAGAATAAGTGGGTAGGGGAAATTAGCTGGAAAAAAATGGGGAAGATTTAAAAAATGAAAGGGAACAATTTGTTGAACAATAACAAAAACCCAACACATCTTGCTTTTACTATATCCACTTGGCTTCTGGTGTACCAAAAAATTCTCTAATCATGCTTTAAATAAATGGCTCAAAAAAGCGAAACCTAACCTCTGACAATATACAACTAGGGCCTAGGGCTAATGCTGACAGCCTACTCTTAAAAAAGAATTGCCATTTTTATTAATACAACAACTCTATAAATGTGAGTATAATACTAAAATACTATAAAAAGGCGTGAATCTTGTGAATAGTGATTACCAATTCACAAGATTAATGTTAACATATCCTAGACTTTCATAATCCCTTACTAGCATTCTCTAAAGTTTGCAGTAGTGTCTGATTGCATATTAGCATGAGTATTTAATGTAATGGTTACAAAGTTTCTTTTTCATGAAAACTGGGAAATATTAAGTCGTTATGCGCTGTGGAACATGTTTACTTTAGTAAACAGCTGATAGGTTCAAATGTGTCATACAAACACAAGCTACAAGTCTGAATGGGAAAATTCATTGCTGTTCATATTTGATATTCCATACCCCTTCCTAAAATTAACCGTCTTTTTAACACTTGAATTGCAGGCTCTCATTTGCCTTTTCCTCTTACTCAGATTGACTCACCTGAGTTCACCTGTATAGTACAGTAGAACCTCTGGTCACGAACACTTCTGACCATGATCAAATCAGGTTTTTTTGTAAATGTCAAATTTCAAAAATTAGGTTCGGGTCATGACCAAATTTATGGAACGAATTATGATCATGACCAGAGGTTCTACTGTACTTCCTTTTCTTCTGAGAAACAGAGATGATTGTTTGTCAAATCACAGTTTAGGTTATAGACTAATATGATGCATGAATCCATTCACAAATATCTAGTCCTATTTAAAATAGTGAAATTGTTCTCTGGTTCGGTAATAAGGCAGATTAATAACTACTTCAGTCAGGTTTTGTTTTTAGAAACTTTTTACAAATAAACCAAATTGGTCATTTAAACAAAGCAAAACTTAAAAACACACATGTAAGTGTTATTAAAATCCAAGCTATAAGAAATGAAATCTATCGACAGTGCTACATGAATTTCTTACACTATGCTAGTTATGCAAAATCAAATTCAGAAACTTCCCAGAAAAGGATTGGACAAATGAAAAGCACATAAAGTTAAGATAAAATTTCACATGGATTTCTGGTGTTCTTTCCCTCAGCTCCCTGAACCTTTGATTTTGTCTCGATTTTACAATGAATTCATTGGACTTGCAAAAGAAAGCCAGAATATTAATGGGGAACTTGATATGAAACAGATGAGACCAAAATCAAACAAACAGCAGCCAGTTTGCATTGAATTGAATAGGATCATACTTAAAATTAAAGATCTACTGAGATTGCTACCTACAGTGAACTATAACACTCTGAAGTTTCTTTTAGCTCATCTTTGCAGGTAAGAGCATTCTGAGTCAACCAGCAACTAGTAATGAAAATAATATCCCTTTCTATTGAGTGACTTGTTATATTTACTATATTAAGATCAGTTATAAAGTTCAATACAGATTTTTTTTATTGCTTAAAATTATTATAACTAACCAATGATAGTAAGGCCCAGAGTGACTTTTAGACTCCAAAATAATAAAAACATTTTAAAAAACATAACCAACAAAGCTTGGACTAAAACAATCATCATAACAACAGACAGTCACAACACCTTACCTGAGGTCAAAGTTAGGTGTGTAGGTATTTTCAGAACTCCAGGAGAGAAGGCACTGTTTGGTGGTTTGGTTTGGTTGGTTTGGTGGGGGGAGGGGCTGTTGTACCCAAAAGGCAGGGAATGGTGGTGGTAGAAACACTTATCTCCTGGAACATATTGGGAAGCCAGAAACAATTGGAGATAGATATCTAGACATTAAGTTTTGATTAATGTTAGTTGGCAATTCAGATAGATAGATAGATAGATAGAGAGAGAGAGAGAGAGAGAGAGAGAGAGAGAGAGAGAGAGAGAGAGAGATTTGTACAAATATTTATGTTTTTTCTGTTCTTTTATGCAGAG